ATGGAGCAACAAAAATTTTCATAGAACGCAAAAATAGTATTGTAATATATTTTTTTAATTTCTTTTTTTCTTTCTTTAATATTTTTTTAATTTCAACATAAACACAATTTACAAATATAATACATTAAAAAGAAAATTATGTATAGGGTGGTGCCTGTGGCTCAAAGGAGTAGGGCACCGGCCCCATATGCCGGAGGTGGCAGGTTCAAACACAACCCCGGCCAAAAAAAAAAAAATAGTATTGTGGCTCAGTGCCCCTCACACAGTGGTTACAGTGTCAGCCATATATATGGAGGCTGTCAGGTTCTAACCTGGCCTGGGCCAGCTAAACAACAATGACAACTGCAACCAAACAAAGCCAGGCGTTGTGGCGAGTGCCTGTAGTCCCAGCTACCTGGAAGGCTGAGGCAAGAGAATGGCTTAAGCCCAAGAGTTTGAGGTTGCTGTGACACCGTGGGACTCTACCGAGGGCGACACAGTGAGACTCTGTCTCAAAAAAAAAAAATGGTATTGTATCCCTGGAAGCTTGGATAGCTCTTGCAATGAGCTGTTGTATTTTCCAGTCCTCTCATCTCAATCCTTGAAGACCAAGGAGAAACTGAGTCACCAAAGAACAGCCAGAAATGCCATCCTGAGCCCATCCATCGAGGTTTTCATCCCTGCCTAGTGGGCCTGTTTATCCCCTCTGTGCCCCAAACTTTCCTACCTTGCCTTAATAACCCATTAAGATTTTCTCATCCATGAAATGATCCAAACCCTGTTGCTATTTTCAGCACATCCCATGTCTTTAGGAACTACACATTAAACATATGGTATTTACACAGTGTAGTATAGCATTTCCTTTTTTTTCCTGAATAAATTTTTCTTTGATAATTGAACTGGGAAGGGCAAGCAGTTCCCAGATTCTGGCATTTGGCATTGGCATCTGGCATTAACTCCCCACCACCCCTGTTCCCATTTTATAAATGCAAACTGGCTAACTGATGCAGGAGTGTGGTGTCTGCTCCACAGTCTCCCCCTTGACAGCTGCCAAGGTGGGCTGGACTTGGTGAAGGCTGTCAGTGCAGGACCTTCCTGCCACATGGCTGAGTCTGCAGGCTTCTGGATTCAAGAAAAGGTTGGCGTGTGCCAGGCATTCAAAGGACAATTATAACAGTAGTCCCTTCTTTATAGGAAAAGTTTGAACCTAAGCATCTTGACTATTATCAGATTTGGGGACCTGAGACGAGCCTCCACTGGTCTTTCCAAAACGAAACCAAATCAGCTGGGAGATTTGAGAACAGCTTTCTATAGTTTTTCCTGTAGTCAGCTATTCTTCCCCACAAATTTTTCACATCATGTGATACCGCCTAGCCTACCTCCTCCATGTAAAATTGAGGTTTGGCTGCAGGGGACAAACTCCCATGCTGAAAACTCTCCATGCCTAACATCAAGCCATTGGCATTTCTGGTATGCTTTTCGAGGCAAGACTGGTATGCTTACCCCAAGAGAAAGAACAAATTCCCTGAGAAACCTCTTTCCATGGGAGCAAAACTGAGTTAAGCAGATGATGCAAAACTGCATCCTAGTGAGGGATCCGAGCAAGAAGACGCCAGAGAAGCAAGGGCTGTGATAGGTACGCATGGGGTGGGTGGGGGTTCTGAGGGCACACAGAGGGCAGGGCCTAACCCACAGTTGGAGAGGTGCAGAAAAGGCTTTGGGACAGGAGGTAATGCCGGATCTGAGGCTTGAGGGGTAAGTGGGACTTGTCCACCAGATATAGCAACTACCAGGAACTGGAAGTCAGCCGGTTTGGCAGGAGGGCAGGGGAGTGGTTAATGGCAAAGCTAAAGATGTGGCTGGGGGTCCAGAGCACAAAGGGTCTTATAGGCCATTCTAAAAGCGGAACATAGATTTTAGCCAAAAGGTCACTGGGAGTCATGGGCAGTTTCTAAGCAGAGGAATAACATAATGAGATTTTGGAAAATCACTCTGGCCTTCACACGGAGGATGGATGTGCCAGAGGAGAACACTGGAGGCAAATGCATCACAGAAGCAAAGCAGTTCTGGAGCAATGCTTCAGGAAAAGTCAGGCTTCAGCCCAAGAAGTTTAGGACTCCCTATGAGGACACTGCCTTTCAAACTTTTCTTCTCTTCTGAAGCCTCTGCTCTGGTGAAGCTTACCTAGCAGCCCCATGTATAAATCTGACAAATGTGGAGCTTCCTTCTCCATTCCTTACCTCTATTCTAGAAAGGCAGTTGAAAGCTGCCAAGAATGGCAACTGATGGCTCGGCGCCTGTGGCTCAAATGGCTAAGGTGCCAGCCACATACACCTGAGCTGGCGGGTTCAAATCCAGCCTGGGCCCGCCAAACAGCAATGATGGCTGCAACCAAAAAATAGCCAGGCATTGTGGCAGGCGCCTATGGTCCCAGCCACCTGGGAGGCTGAGGCAGGAGACTCGCTTGAGCCTAGGAGTTAGTCAGGTGTTATGGAGGGTGCATGTAGTCCCAGCTACTTGGGAGGCTGAGACAGAAGGACCACTTCAACCCCAGAATTTGAGGTTGCTGTGAGCTAGGCACCACAGCACATTAGCCTGGGAAACAGAGTGAAATTCTGTCCCCAAAAAGAAAAAAAAAATAAAAATAAAGCACTCTGGAGCCGGCTCTGTGGCTCACAACTATAATCCCAGCACTCTGGCACTCTGGGAGGCTGAGGCAGGCAGATCGCCTGAGCTCATGAGTTCAAGACCAGCCTGAGCAAGAGCAAGACATCACCTCTAAAAATAGCCAGGTGTTGTGGCCTCAGCTATTTGGGAGGCTGAGGCAAGGAGATCGCTTGAGCCGAAGAGTTTGAGGCTGCTGTGGGCTATGGCACTCTACCAAGGGGAACAAAATTACACTCTGTCTCAAAAAAAAGGTGCTCGGGTGGCGAATGTGGCTCAAAGGAGTAGGGCGCCGGCCC